GCTCACGGCGCGACCCAGGCCTGCGAGGAGGGCGGAGCCTCGGGCGCCGGTGGCTCCGCCCCAGGGTGGCGGGGCCGGGAAGGGCTCGCGGGGGCGACCCTGGTCCCCGGCAGCGCGAGCGCATCCCTTACCCCTCCGGACAGCCCGTGGCGACGAGCAAGCTGACCACAGTCTTCAGGGCCCGGGGTGTGAATCTGGCCCAATTCAATCTCTTCTTAGCGGCACCGCGACCCCGGGTGGGGAAACAGTCCGGGAACGCGCTGGGCTTGGACCCCTTTGAGTGGGTTTCTCCCTGGGCCCTGACCTAGGGCCTCTAACACACTGTGCAGGTCACCTGGGTGGTGTCAGAGTTCAAGGCGGCTCTGCCACCTAAAACCGCACACGCTCCCTCCTCCCGCGCTGGGATCGAACCCAGGACCTTTGAGCTGAGCTATATTCCCAGCCATCTTAAAATTTTGAGACTGGGTCTCACTAAGTCTCCCAGGCTTGGCTTGAATTTGAGATCTTCCTGACTCAGCCTTGTGCAGTGCTGAGATTATAGGCCTGCCGCCACACCTGGTTAACACTGCAACCTTGACACATTATTTCCTTTCCCTTGTTTCTAGAATGTAGAGACAATAAAGACTTAAAATTTTAATTAGCAGGATATTCGTTACATCATTTTATGTGGCTGTGAAAAATAACAACTTAAGTAGCCATTGTTAGGGGAAGGAAGACGCTGCCAGGCTGTTAAAATGAAGTAGGCAGGTCGATGTGGGAGGCAGGACATTTACGGGATACATTTACAGGATACTTAGAAAAGGGAAACAAGTTTAAAGAACTGCATCTTGTGTAACCACTCTGGAAAAGAAAATTGTAAAAATTTCCATTCAGGATGTGGGTACATATACCCTGGAGAAATCCTTGTAAATATACAGGACCAAGTTCATAGCAGCCATGCTTGAAATGATACAGAAGTGGAAATGGTCCAAGTAGCTCTCAACAAAAGAGAATTTGTTTTTAAACATGACGGCCCATTTGCACTAGGGAAAATTACAGAGTAAGGACATTAATGAAATAAATCATTCTCTCATACAATGGATCTTGGACACCTGAGGAGGGCAAAGACCACGTGGACAGATGAATGAAACAATACAGTACACACAGCGCAGGCAGTGGCCCATTTCTCTTTTTTTTTCTTTTTTTTTCTGTTTTGGTACTGGGAATTGAACTCAGGACCTTGCACTTGCCAGGCAGTCACTTGTGTCCCACTGAGCTACATCCCAGCCCAGTAGCCCACTTCTCAAAAGAGATAGCTTTTGTTTGTCACAGTGATTAAAATATTAAACAGGGCCACATGGCACCAGCCTGAAATCCCAGCACTCAGGAAGCTGACGCAGGAGGATTGCCCTGAGTTCTAGAGCAGTCTGGGCTACATGGTAAGTTCAAGTCCAGCCTGCACTACATAGCAAGATCCTGTCTCCAAAACCTAAATAAATAAATAAGTAGTTTTAAAAGCAGAAGGACGTTGTTCTAGGGCTGGGGATGTGGCTCACTGTTAGTGCTCTTGCCTTGCATGCATAAGGACCTGGGTTCAATATCCGGAACCAAAACAATACAAAACAAGCTGGGTGTGGTGGCACATGCCTGTAATCCCAGCACTCAGGAGGCTGAGGCAGGAGGATCTTTGCAAGTTCAAGACCAGCCTGGATGGACTACAAAGTGAGCTCAAGGCCATCCTGAACTACATAGCGAGACCCTGTCTCAAAAAAAAAAACAAAACAAAAAAACAAGCCACTGTCCTGTCACTAAGGAGAAGAAATGAGATTTGCAAGGTAAAGGCCTGGGTTTTCAATGGGGACTGAGTTCAAGAGGTTCACGGTATTATTTATGCCCTAGAGCTCACAAACATGATACATGTGCTTATGAGTGTACACTGCACTATTTGAAAATAAGGTAAAGAAGAGGAGCTGAATCAAATCAAAGTAGGTGCCCTTTTCCTAGCGTGGTAATGACAGCATTCCTAGTGTTATTTCCGGACTGCTAGGATGGGAAGGCTGCTTTTATTCCTTTGGCTTAACTGTAGTTTCCAAAACTTTACACAATGGTCGCACAATGTTTCTGTATTTTAAGATGTATTTTTAAATTTCTAAAATGGAACCTCATATATTATAGCACTCCTTCTTTTCCCTTCCCCATGCTGCAGGTCAAACCTAGACCTCTGACATTCGAGGCAACTTCTCTACGTCCCCAGCCCTGCTTGTTTTTTTTGTTTCTTTTGTTTTGCTTTTTTTTTTTGGTCTTTTTTGAGACAGGGTCTCACTATGCCGTTCAGGCTGGCCTTGAACTCAGTTTGTAGCGCAGGCTGGTCTCAAACTTGCAATGATCCTCCTGCCTCAGCCTCCCGAGTGCTGGGATTACAGGTGTGTGCCACCACACCCAGCTGTTTTGCTTTATTTTTTGAGGCAGGGTCTTGCTATGTGGCCCAGCCTGGCCTCGAACTTACAGTGATTCTCCTGTCTTAGCCTCCCAAGGGCTGGGATTACATGTGTGCACCACCAACTTTTTTTTTTTTCAATACAGTCATCTTTGCATAGCAGGTAACTATGTGTAAAGGTACACAAACATGTCAGGATAAAGCCACCGGGACTGCTAGGCTGGGCATCCTTGCAGGCGGGAGGGAGCAGGAAGGCTGGGGGTACCTTCACATTATAAACTTTTAAAAGCTTTATAAACTTCTAGAATGTTTGCATTCTACTAATTTGGTAAGCTAGTTGGTAACATTGTTTTTAATTAAAACAAGTCAGTGATGTAGGGGCAAGGTCCACCCTCGGGACTCTGAAAGCACCGCCACAAGGAAGAGGAACGGGCGTTCCCTAGGAGTGGACTTGCAGCTTCCTGCCAGTCTAGTTTCCCAGGTGATCGCTTCCTGAGCCTCAGCCCCATCCCCTCTGGCCACCCGGCCCCACCTCACCCCTGCCCCGTCAGCTGCCAAACAGAAAACTAGGGTGAGAAGGACCTCAGGAGAGGCCCGATGACCGTGACCACGGGGTGCAGGTCAGAGGCTGCACCAAAGGTAGAACCATCCAGTCTCCAGGCCTCCTCCCCAGCCCAAGCCCTGGGGCCTCAAAAAGCGAGAGCAGGTGCCTCTGCCCGGCCTCCAAATCACAGTGGGACCTGGCGGCCCCCCTCAGGCCTGTGATGTTCCTGCCCAGGTCGACTGCAGGAGGCTCTGCCTCAAGGCTGGCTTCCCTTGGGGGGTCAGGAAACAGGACCCTCCACCCCACTGGTGAGGACGGGGGAGCTCCTGCACAAGCACCTTGAAACACACCGCCATGGAATCCCGCAAATAACCCATGCCAACGGTACCAGTGTTACTTCAACTTTCCAGGGGAAACTCAGGCTCAGAGAACACACAGGTGGCAGGGCTAGGATTAATACCCCGAGCCTGGGAGAGCTGGGCCAACCTCCACAGGTGGATGGGGGCCTTGGCCAGCCCTGGTGGCCCTTGCTGACCTGTCTGGCGCTTGTCCTCACCTCCAGGCCCCACTCCATGCTCTGGAGGGGCAGGTGTTGCTCCTGCCCTTCCTGCCCCAGGAGCTGGGGTGCCGCGTGTGACGCACACCACACTTTCTGCCCTTAGCAAACCTGTGTGTGTCTCTTGCACACGGGTGTTGTGGCTGGAACCACGGGTCCTATGCAAGCGAGGCAAGCACTCTGGTGGGGCCGCACCCCCGGGCCACTTTGCAAGCTTCCTTGTGCTCTTTTCCCTTCCACGGTGCTCTGGAAAGAGCCCTAGGAGACCTCACTCACCACCCAGCTCCCAATTTGAGGTCAAAGCCAATGCCAGGCAAGAACACCATGCGCCCAAGGGCCTTCCTGGGGCCTCACAGAGCTTGGCTAGGAGCCACGTGTGGGGACTCTTTGAGGCCCAGGAGGGGCCTCTGCGGGTGACAGGTGGGAGCCGGGTCACCAAGTGGCCCCACAAACCTACTCCCAAACCTCTCAGTGATTCTTCCAGGACAGAGGAACAGTCAGACCCACACCACCGGCCCCGGGCAGAGCTCTTGGCGTCCTGGCCGTCTACATAAATGAGGCAGTGGCCACAGCCGCTGCCGCCGCTTTGTACAAGACTGTAGGCCTTTCTGAGCTCTAGGGCCAGAGGACGGGGCGCGGGTGAGGCACCCTGCTCCTCCTTGGGGATGTGGGGTGACTTCTGCCCACCGCTCACCTTCCAACAGCCAAAAAGTGGGGAAGGGATCCTCAGCTTCACCTCTGGAGTCCTAAGCAGACCTGAACCAGCTGCCAGCCTTGCCAGGAGGCACCTTCGTGCATCCAGAGGAAGTGGCTGGTGAGTCCCAGAAAGACAACTCTTTGGTCCAACCCAGCAATAAACACCACACCTTGGGGCAGGGCCAGAACCAGCATTTGCTGGAGGGTGGAGGAGGAAGTGGCCATCTTTAGGGAGGGGGCTCGAATCCTAATAGGGTCATATTCCCTGGCCCTTGAACACCTTGGGGAGGCTGTGAGCAGGGAGAGGTAGAACAGGAGCCCGCTGCCCACATGTCAGTACCCAGCCAGGGCAAGGCCAGCTGAAGAGGATGACACCATTTAAAATGATGGGTCCCACCTATCAAGTGCCAACCATGCAGATGGGCGTGGCCTATAATCCCAGCACTCGGGAGACTGAGGCAGGAGGATCGCTGCAAGTTCCGGCCTCTTCCCACTTCTGGGCCCACCTGGCACCGCATAGGGAACAAGCACAGTGCTGAAAGCCAGTATCAAGCCCCTCCTGAGCAGGCAGAGGCAGGAGGGCATGTGCCCAGGTCACCCAGGTCCCTCAGCAAAACTGGCTATGTCCGTTGAAGGGCCTTGTGGCTCTGTGCTAGGAAAAAATTAAGAATTTAAAGCTGGTGATGGTGGAGCAGGAGCTATACCCAAGGCTGGGGTCAGACATGAAGGCCCTGATGAGGCTGGAGAACTAGAAGCCCAGGGCTCTGAACTTAAGTCTCCCCATGAGGGAGGGAAGGGGCGGATTCCTCCTGCGGGGTGTGTTGGGAGCACTCTTCCCACTTGGTGCAGGCCAAGGCCTCAGGCATAGCTCTCAGGCCTGATTCCTCCTGCTTCAGCCTCCCATGGCTGGGGCCATATTTAAGGTCAGATGTCTTTTTGAGACAGGGTCTCGCTGTGCAGTTCAGGCCGGCTGTGAGCTCACTTTGTAGCCCAAGCTGGTCTTGAACTCACAACGATCCCCCTGCCTCAGCCTTCCTGAGTGCTGGGATTACAGGCGTGCGCCACCACGCCCAGCACTTCCGGTCAGATGGTGGGTCTGTTCCTCCCATTTCACAGGTGAGAAAAATGAAGCTGAGGCTGAAGGGCACTGGCCACAGCCAAGGCCAGCGCAGCCCTCGCTTCCAGGCCGGCAACATCCCAGAGGGGCCATCCTTTGCCTTCTTTCTCTAAAGCAATCAACTTGAGGTGTAACAGGCAATTTAACTGCCAAATGCTTTGGAATGGGCCAGGAAGATGAGGTGGGGTGGAAAACCCGCCCCTCCAGGCCCTGACTGCTGTGGGGTGCAGGGCAGGGGTTCCCGAGACGCATCTGACTTGGCCCCACCTCCTGGGACAGCACAGCTGCCCCACCCAGTGGGATGGCTTTGGGGCAGAGGGGTGCACACGCACGGGCGGGTGGCCTGGGAGGAGCCGCAGGGCTCAGGCAGCCCTCTGGTCCACAGGTTACGGGCCCGTGTCCACGAAGGAAGCCCCCCGTCCCCACCCTGGACACGTGACCACTCCAGACAGTGTCCAGAAAACATGTTTACCCGTACACTCCGGAGACGGCTCTGGCGGTCACGCTCAGAGGCCCCTGTGCCCCACAAACCCTAGGCTCCTGGCTACCCTGACCAGAGCCCCAGCCTGAGAAGGTGGCACCAGAGGAGGCTGGGGTGGGGAGGGGGCAGACAGGGATTGGCACAGGTCATGATGCTGGTGAGTGGGGCCATTGGCCCCAGGGGCAAAGGCCACTTGAGAGACCTGGTGGTGGGCTGAACCCCCAATCAAGACGTGATTCCTTGGGGAGCAGAGGTGGGGAAGGCGCCCCTCCAGTCCCCCTCAAGGCACAGGGCTGGAGATGGCTCTGGGTGTCCCCAGGGTAGGGCGGGAAGGAGCCCTAGGTTGACCCGGCACGTGGCAAGAGGCAAGAGGCATAAATTAAATGTTCAAGGTGGAGTGCGGTGGCCCGGGGTGGGACGAAGGCCCCGTGGAAGTGTGGCGGCTGGCTGGCGACCGCAGCTACTCGACCCTCCAGGACGGGTGGGCGAACACGATCGGCCTCTTCTTGGCCCAGCGTGAGAACACGGCCTTCTCGGTGATGAAGCGATGGGCGCTCCTGGGCGCGCGCTCGTGGGCCAGGTACATCTGGCACTCGTCCAGCCGGCCCTTCTCAAAGTAGTGGTAAGGCACCGAGGGGTGGCTCTGCTCCCTGCAGGGCGGGGACACGGCCGGTGCAGACACTGTGATCTCCCCCCACCTCCCCCTGGGGGCCCAGGCCCGGTCCTGAGCAGCAGGCCCCTCTTTCCCCACACATGCGTGCCCTGCTGCCCAGGGCCGCCCCCACCCCAGTAGCCCAGCAGTCTGGCCAGGGCCAGGTGCTTTGAAACAAGTTCCCAAGTGCACAGGGGTGAAGGCCTCTGAACTGATTACAGTGACACTGAAGGACAGTAATGTAACAGTGCCAAATACCATCTCCAGCTGAACTGGATGCTACGAAGCTGCAACAGTAACAAAAGTAAAAATTTATCTGTGATCCACCAGGGACACGTGTTATATAGCTACACCTCCCCCTAATGTTTGTGGGAGGCACTTTCCTAGATGATTCCTTGGAAGGTGTAATTTTTTTCTCTGGGGCTGGGGATGGAAACTAGGAAGTAAAGCCTCAAGCATGCTTGGCAAATGTTCTGCCATTAGCTACACCTACGAATGTGTGTGTGTGTGTGTGTGTGTTACTGTTTGTTTTTATTTTTTTTACCCCCAGCTCTTTTTGAGGGTCTTGTTAAGTTGCCCAGGCTCGGCTCAAACTTGAGATCTTTTTGCCTCAGTCTCCCAGGGTGCTCGGACTACATGTGTGTGCCACAGGGCGCAGCTCGGAAGGCTCAGTTCTGTTCTCTGTTTTATACCCAAAGAGGTGGGAGCTCCAGGAGGTGGCAGGCAGCTCAGGGCCACACCGCCAGCGCCGGGATCTGTCAAGGAGCCTTTTCCGGGAGCTGAGCTCTTTCCTGAGGTCGGATGCCTACGGGGTTTCTGCACCTTTGCCACATGCAGCCCCTAGAGCTCCTGGGTCCCCGGGCAGGGCCTGGGCGCCCCGCACCTCCCCTCCTGTGGGCGGCCACCTGACCTGCAGTAGCTGTCGCTGACCATCCCGTAGACCACGATCTCCTCGCACAGCTCCAGGGCCAGGATCATGGTGAACCAGCCAGTGCTGAGAAAGGACCCCGACTGCCTCCTGGGGGAGACAGGGACAACGTCATGGGGCCTGCCGACACCCCAAGCTCTCGGGGTCTCAGCATGGAGCCCTGCGTGCCAAAGACCACGCACAGGGGCTTCTGGGGGAGCCCAAGGCCAACAGCAGGCAAGAGGGGGAGCCGGCTGCAGAGCCAGATGCGCCCAACCCCACCCCGCCCCGCCCCGCCCAACGAGGCTAAACTGAGCGCTGCTTTGTACTCAGTACACTGGGTGTGGACTCCGGCTGGATCCTTTCCTTATCTAAGAGGCCAGGCCTGGGGAGAAAGCTGGTGGCCGCAGAGCAAGGTGATTAAGAACGGGTGGAGTGGATGGGCATGGCAGCACGTGCCTACGATCCCAGCTATTCAGGAGGCTGAAGCAGAAAGGATCCCAAGTTCAAAAACAGCCTGGGCAACTTAGTGACACCATGTCTCAAAACAAAAACGAAAGGGCTGGGGCGTAGCTCAGAGGCAGACTTCCCTGGGTAGGATCCCCAGTACGACCACCAAAGAAGTAGGGGAGTGTTTTGCGTTTTCCATTCCAACCCTGCCTCTGCTGTAGGGCATTAGATTTACCATTAACCTCTCTGAGCCTCACTGACCTGTCTGTGAAATGGGAGTAATTACAGGTGGCAATGGGGAGGAGCCCTGTTATCCCAACCCACGTCCCACTAGGCACAGGGGCTGAGGGATAGCCAGCCCAGCCGGCCCACCCTGATCTCCCCATGAGCTCTTTCATTCAAACCTCCCAGGCCCATGCTGGCCTTGAACCTGCCAGGCTGAGAACATTCCTGAGGGAGGCGGCAGCTGGGAAACAAATATAAACAAGGTGTCAGAGTGCGACACCTGCTGCAAAGATAAGGGGACAGAGATGAGATGAGAATGGCAGTGTTCAGGAGGCTGAGACAGGAGGATCGCTGCGAGTTCCAGGTCAGTCCTGACTACACAGTGAGTTCAAGACCCTGTGAGTTGAAGCAGTGGTAGGGACAACAGTAGGGAGAGCATCGAGGCACAGGAAAGGATTGTGGATCAGGCTAAGGCGGTCCCCACAGGCACAGAAAATGTAACAGACAAATGCATGTGGCAGCGGATGCCTGAGGGTGGTCGGGGGCAAAGCCCAAGTTTTTGTTTTTCTTATTGTTTTTAACTTTGAGACGGGGGTTCTCATGAAGTTGCCCAGGCTGGGCTTGAACTTACAATCCTCATGCCTCAGCCTCCCAGAGCACTGACCCTACAGGCATAAATCATCATACCTGACTCCATAAGCTCAGGTTTTTGGCTGAACCGCTTGGGGCTCTTTCAAGGGAAAATGCGATTTTGGACATGGAGTGTCTACCGCAAGGCCTGGTGTGGGACAACAGCCGTTAGCGCCATAACTGCTTCTCGTTACCAGCGCGGCTGCAGATACCTATCTGCTGGGGTCTGCGCCCCAGCCTGCGTTCACAAGGCTCGGACTGACCCCCGGCACAAACCCCAGCCCACCAGGAGGCTCGTGGTGGCGGGGGCGCGGGCTCACCGGTTCTTGCCCGTCTCGTCCTGGAAGATCTGGTCGCAGCGGGCCATCATGCGCTCGGTGAAGGTGTAGATCTGCAGCCCCGGGTACATCTGGGTGAGCTGCAGCAGCGTGCGGTAGGTGCGGCCGCCCAGCGCGCGGTCCATGTGCCTGCCCTGGCCCCACACCACGTAGAGCGTGTCCCGGGCCTGCTGGAAGTAGTGCGAGTAGTTGCGCAGCAGCAGCGGCACGCTCGTGTGCGAGACCACGCGCAGGGTGCTGCGCCGGCCCACGTCCGCCTCGAAGCCCACAGTGGGCGCCTGGTTCATGCGCAGCACACACTCAGCACCGTCGATCTGGGCGCCCAGGCCGGAACCGAGCATCTGGCCCGAGCTGGACACCACGGCACAGCTGTGGCACGGCTCCCGGACCAGCGGCTGTGGGGCAAGGTGGAGAGAAAGGGGGAGCTGGGACCTGGGCTCGCACCCCCTGCCCCGGCCCCGCCCGCCGCTCCCACTGGCCTTCTCCACGCCCGGCATGTGAGCTCCAAGGACTGACCCACTCCACCGACAGGCTGGCCAGCGGGGGACACCTGACTGAGCTCTGACCCTACATTCACACCCAAGGCCTCCTTATGAGCCACACCCCGCCTGTGGCTGTTACTGAACCCTAAGTCCCTACATCCTGGGCATTTCACGAGGGTTACAGAAGCAAACATTTAAACTGGGTGTGACGGTTCAGGTTTGTAATCATAGCACCAGGGGCTGATGCAGGAGGATTGCCAGGAGTTTGAGGCCAGCCTGGGCTACACAGTGAGTTCAAGGCCAGCCTGAACTACGTAGTGAGACCCTGTCTCAAAAAAAAAGTTTTGGGCCAGGAGTGGTGGCACACGCCTGTAATCCCAGCACTCGGGAGGCTGAGGCAGGAGGACTGTTGTGAGTTTGAGACCAGCCTGGGCTCCAAAGTGAGCTCAAGGTCAGCCTGAACTGCATAGCAAGACCCTGTCTCAAAAAGACAGAAGAAAAAAAGAGTTTTAAAATGTTATGACTTGTGTCCAGATGTCCTCGCAAAGCCTCATGTGGTCATAGGTGGGGCTTTTTCAGAGATGGCCGGATGTAGAGTGTGTGATGCTGGGACTGATTCATGGTGCAGTGCTAGGATTAAGGATGTAGCCTAGATAAAACATAAGGGATAGAAAGCGGCTTGTTGCTTGCTTGTTTCTGCTGTCTTCTGCTGCCACGGACTGTTTCTCCTCTTCGATTCCCCACCACCCTGGCTTGGAGCCGGCCGACTACAGACTGAAGCCTCTGAGAACTGTGAACCAAATAAACCTCTCCTCCCTTAACTCGTGGGTGTTGGGTATTTTTGTCTCAGCCACAAGCAAAGTAACTGAGAAATAATTGCCCAGGGAGTGGGTGGCACAAACCTCGAGCACAGCGAGGTCCCCAAGCCACCTCATTACCCCCTGAGGGGCGATACAGCCAACCAGCCACAGCTGTGCAGGAAATGACCCAGACCTCCGTGCCTTCAGGTACTTGGGTTTGCCAAAGTATATCAAAGATGTGGGACACGGGTTCCAGTTCAGAAAGGACAGCGTCGCACCCCATTTGCAGGCATTTCACACTTGCTTACATGCTGGTTTAGGGACACACAGGCCCATTTGTCCACGCCCCAGTGATAAACAATAAGACTTCCTTATCTTGTTTGGACTGAGCTGACAAGCAGGGTCTGTTCTGCTTAGGTCATCTCAGGCCCCAAGAGGTGCTGTGTGCATCTTTGTGAGGTCTTTAAAGGTTTCTCATTGACTGCTAAGATAAAGTTGGTCCTTCTGGCCAAACACAGTGATGCATGCCTGTAATACGTACAGTCTGGGAAGCTGAGGCAGGAGGATCGCTGTTCAAGCCCAGCTTGGACAACTTAGTGATACTCTGTCTCAAAATAAAAATTAAAAAGGAGCTAGGGATGTAGCTCAGGTGGCCCAGCAGGGGGCCACCTTTAGCAGCACAGAAGGATGCAGAAGCCCCTAGTTTTTTTGTTTTTTTGACAGGAACTCGTTATGTAGTTCAGGCTAGCCTCGAACTTACTGCAATCCTCCTGCCTCAGCCTAGGAAATCTCCAGTACAGGAAAAAATAAGACTCTTTTGACATTCAAACTCAGGATTTCCCACTTCTTTTTTTGGAGGAGGGCAGTACCAGGAATCAAACTCAGGACCTTACCCTTGCTAGGCAGGTACTGCACCACTGAGCTAAATCCTTGGCCCCAAGATTTCCTACTTCTCTTAAGAAAAACATGCTGGGTGTGTCAGTGCATGCTTGTAATCCCAAAACTAGGGAGGCTGAGGCAGAAGGATTGCAGCCAGCCTGAGCTGAGCTACATAGTGAGTTCAAGCCCACACTGAAATACACAGGGAGGCCCCATCTCAAAAAATAAAATAAGCTGGGCGTGGTGGTGCACGCCTGTAATCTTAGCACTCAGGAGGCTGAAGCAAGAGGGTCGTTGCAAATTCAAGACCAGCCTGGGCTACAAAGTGAGTTCAAGGCCAGCCTGAACTGCATAGCGAGACCCTGTCTCAAAAAGACAAAAATAAATAAATAAAATAAAATAAAATAAAATTTTAAAAATTAAAGGAAAACAGCTGGGTCTGGTGCCTCATGCCTGTAATCCCACTTGGGAGGTTGAAGCTGGAAGATCACCATAGGTTCAAGGACAGCCTGGGTCCTTGGAGTGCGCTTGCTGAACAGACGGCGGGGCGGGGAGGACAGGTAAATCTAAAGATGCAAAAATGCGCACATCTGCATTGCTATGGTGACGTCTGGCTCTCCCACCCGACAGCAGCCACCCCGTCCCAAGCACCTCTTCTCTCCGATGACTCAGTTCCGAGCAGCCAGGCAATCTTATGGGCTCAGAGAGCTAAAGTGAGCGGCCAAGGTCACACAGCCAGGACTGGGGCCACGCTGCCCGGCAGACCCACCTTCCCATCAGGCACGCTGCTGTACCCGCTGAAGTGCAAAGGCCCTGGCGCGGTGGGGCTGGAGTCCACAGGGAGGTGTCGGTCCAGGCAGGTGGCCCGACAGGGGGGCAGGCAGGTCCAGCAGCACAGGAGGACGTAGACGGCAGAGAAGACCAAGGAGCACAGGACAACAAGCAGGAGGCGACCCTGAGAGAAGGACAGTCGGGGGAAGGCGTCTAGATCCCCCGCAGCAGCTCGGAGAACCCACAGTCTGCTTTACCCAGGTCCTGCGCTGCCCCGAGACGCCTCTTCCATCCCCACCCGCGGCTGACTCTGGCTGTCTCCAAGCTGTTGAGGACAATGTAGGCCAGCAGCCCAGGTGGTAGGAGCGCTCCAGGGAAGCATCTTCCCAGCCACGGTTTCCATAAATGGAAAGCTGCTGTCCGGGGGTTTCTGCCTCTGGAAACCACGGCCCAAAGGCCACACGCACCAGGCACCCCTTCCGGCTCTCTCGAATCTGGGCCCAGGCTGGGGCTGGCCCTGCTGGCAGTCTCAGGGACAGCCCCCACCAGCCCCTCCAGGACCTTGCTCCCTGGCGGGGTGGGATCTGAGTCCGCTTCTGCGTGCCGGGCCAGGGCAGTCGATACCTGTGTGTCTCTGGGTTCCGGGTCCAGCAGCTGATGCTTTTGGAAAACCAGAGGCAGGAAGACAGCCCCACCCAACCCCCCAGGGGTATCCTGCCAAAGGCCCCCTTTCTTTTCTGCCCACAAGCCACAGCAGCTTTAAAAAGGTCTCTTCCTAAAAAAAAAAGTCTCCTCCTTAAGGCCAGCTGTTCAGGCTCTGCCTAGCACCTGGTCCCCTGCCCAGGAGGGACCAAACCCTGAAACTTTGCCTAGGGCAGTAGAGGTTAACCCCCCTTAACATCCAGGTGGCAGCAGCTCCCACCTTCGTGACCTGCTGGCACTATTACCTCCACATCAGGGGCGAGCAGAGCAAGGAACCGAAAGCACTACCCAGACACCACTTGCCTGGGGTCACACAGAGCAGTGCTGAGCCCCGAGGGCAGCTGTCCTGGCCGCAGAGGTCAGAAGTAACCCTGCGCTGGGGTGCAGCTCAGGGTGACAGCACACGCTCAACAGGCACAAGGCCCAGGGGTTGAACCCCCACACCGAGAAAAACAACAAACAAAAAAACCACAGAAAGTGTCACTGTCAGTCCCAGCGTGGGAAGGCAGTTGAGGCTGCTGGGCCCCAGCACGAAGTTCCCCCCGGGCCTCTGCTGTCTAGGCCACTTACCGGAGCCTTCATGCTGCCGCAGGCCCTCAGCAGCCCCGGAGCTGCTGTCCCCAGGAGTCAGGCTGGGCAGGGATGTGAGCTGGGCACCTGCCAAGACTCGAAAATCAGAGCTGGGACGGGATAAGGCGGTGGGGGAGGGGGTCGCCGGTATGGAGAAACTGAGGCAGGGGAGGGTGCAGGCTGGGACCAGGGGATGGTCCCTGGGAACCAAACCCCTTAGTGTCCACCCTCGGGCAGCGGTGTGGCATCCTAAAGGCGCTGCAATAGGCGACCTCTGGGAGCCCCCCCGTGCCAACCAGTCCCCGTGGCGCAGAAGAGGAAGCAGGGCAGACGGATGTGCTCTGGCCTCAAGGTCACCCACTGGGTCCGAAGCAGAGACAGCCGGGAGCCCGGCTCGCGACCTCCTCCATCCTCCCACCCCGCCGGACCACGAGAGGCCCGGGACCCACGCGATGTGAGCTTCCCCCCTCGCCTAGCGATTCCGCCTCCCCTCCCCGGCCGGGCCCTAACCGGGAGGGCAGATCGGGGCGCGCCGGAGCCTCTCCATCCGCTGCGCGGAGCTCCATGTCCGGCGGGCCGGGCGAGCCGGGCTGAAAGCCGGGGCCCCGGGGCGGAGGCGGCGCCTCGGAAGCGGCTTCTGCGGGGTGGAAGCCGAACCAGCGCGGCCGGCCGGGGGCGGGGCCTTGCGCGACGGGGCGGGGCCTACTGCGCCGGGGCGGGGCCTGCGCGGTCGGGGGCGGGGCCTACGAGCGCGGCGGGCTTGACCCCGGACGGGACGTGCGTGCCTAGCGACAACGCCTCGGGGGGTGGGGGCGGGATCTCGGCATCGGGGGCGGGGTCTGAACCGAGCGTTGTTATTTCTTCCTCTCGCGTTTCTACCCGGTTCCTGCCTCAGGACCGGATGGTAGAGCTAGAGGATGTCCAAGCCACTGGGCAGTAGCTGCCGGGCCACTCAGATTTCAGTGTCTCCATTTCTGAACTGGCAGCTTGGTGACACACTCCTGTAATTCCAGCCCTCAGGAGGCAGAGGCAGGAAGATTGTGAGTGCAAGGCTGGCCTAGGCTATAAGTGAGATCTTGTCTCAAAAACTAAAAAGCAAACAAGAAAGAAAAGAATCTATTTCTGAAATAGGGGTGGACCAGAGAAATTAATCAAGGGCTTTGGTCAGGGGTTCAGGCTGGTAGGGTTGCCAGATTTAGCAAGTGAAATAGAACACGCCTAGTTAAATTGGAATTTCAGATAAACAATGAAGAAACAAGCTGTTTTTAATAGAATTAACTTATATTCTACTGAGGGTTGAAGCCAGGACTCAGTATGTGCTAGGCTATTGTTCTGCCGCTGAGCTACATCCACAACCTTTTTTGTTTAATTTTGAGACAGAGTCTGGTTAAACTGCCCAGCCTGGTCTTGAATTTTCGATCCTCCTGCCTCAGCATTCAGAATAGCTGGGGTTACATACAGCGCCACCTTGCCCAGCTAGTGTTTTTTTTTTTTTTTTTTTTGATGTTGTTCACGTGACCTTCATCTGATCCTCAGTCTCTCCCCTCTGTAAAATGGGATGGTGCAGGGGTCGTTTGCGGCAGCCCAGGCTGGCCTCGAACTCACAATGATCCTACTGCCTCAGCCTCCTGAGTGCTGGGACTACGAGCATGCGCCACCACGCCCAGCATGGCAGTCAGGCCTGAACCCGAGCAGCTTCTCTAGAGCTCAGGCTCTGACACCTCCCCGGGCCTCGAGTCTGGCTCTGGCAGATGCTGAAATGGGCTGAGGCAAATGTCTTCAGGGACCAGGGTGTCCGTCCCCAGCTCAGCAACCTTCCAAGTCTGCCCTGCCCTGGGTCCCCCATCCCTGTGCCTTCCCGTCCTGTTCAGGGGACAGGGACAGCGGCCCCGCCCTTTTCTGGGCCCCTCCTGCATGTAAGCGCTTCTTGTCCCTCCCACCAAGGGGTCCCCCATGGCACAGCCCTTCTGGGTCCTTCTCCTTCACCTTTCTCTCCACACAGCAAGACCCTGCCTCAAAAAGCGCTCCCCCCAAACTGGCATGGTGACACACTCGGGAGGCTGAGGCAGGAGAGTCCCCTCAAGTTCAAGACCAGCCTGAAGTACACAGAAAGACCCTGTCTTAAAAAAAAAAAAAGAAACCCACTGTCCTTATCCCTGTCTCCAAGACCCTGCACGATGTGGACCCCTGCCTGCTCAGGGTCGCCCTCGCCCTGCCCCACCCCCACCACCCCCCTCACAGAGCTCACTCCTGCCTTGGGACCTTCGTGCTCACTGCTCCTCTACCTTCCCCGCTCTAGCTATGGGCTGTCCTGTCGTTCAGCTCGAACATCACCTCCTCGGAAAAGTCCCTGCCAAACACCCTACCCGGTGTTGCATCCCAGCTCCTCTTGTCTCATCTGGTTTATTTTATTCATTTTTCCCAGACTGGGGACTAAACCCAGGGCCTTCACACTGAACTGCATCTCTACCCCATTTTTGTTTTTTAAATTTAGGGACAGAAGACGGGGGATATAGCTCAGTGGTATAAGCGTCTGCCTGGCAAGTGTGAGGTCATGAGCTTGATTCCTGGTACTAAAAAAAAAAAAAAAGAAAAAGAAAAAATAATTAGAGACAGGGTCTCCCTATGTTGCTAAGTTGCCCAGGCTAGCCTTGAACTTTCAAAACATCCTCCCTCCTGCCTCAGCCTCCCTGAGTGCTGGGCTTATAGGCACACCCAGCTATCACCAGGTTTATTTTTTTTTTACAGCATTTGTCATGGCCTGAAGTCACCCCGGGTATTGGTGATGTCCTTGCTTATGGTCCGTGCAGCCACTGGCAGACGAGTCCTGTTCTTTCAGTCCAGCACTGCCTGGCCCCGGGCACCCGGTAGGGGTGGGTGAACAAGTTGGAAAAGCCAGGAGCCCTGGGTCCTTGAAGTCTTTCTTGGACAAGTCACTGCCCTTTCTTTGGCCTCAGGCCCCGGAAGAGTTCATGGCCGGAGACCAAGTGAGAAGGCTGAGTCACCCCAAATATGAGGGCGGGACTCCGTGTTCTCTGCACCTCAGCTCCCACCACCCCTGAATGAATGTTCCAGTCCATCCCCTCCAAGTGACCACCATCCGCGGTTCAATTCCCTGCTGAGTAAGAACCAGAAATGCTTGTGGTGCTCGCAGGCTCAGAGAGGTTGAGTCATCACCCGAGGTTGCCCAGACGACCAGCACTGACGTGGCTCTTCCGGAACCTTGCTGAAGCCCTGCGGCCCGGCCCAGTGTCCCCTCCTCCCGCTCCCGACAGCCCCATGTCCTTGGCCACACCTGGGGGTGGCCAGTGGCTTTCCCGGCCCCGCCCTGCTGACCCCGCTACCAGGAGGTGCTTCTTTCTCTAAACGGCCTCTGCTCTCCCTGCCCAGGCTTTGCGGGACGGGGGGCCTGGGCCCCAGGAGCTCCGACTCTTCCGGTCTCTGTACGGGGGTTAAGCCCGAGCGGACTCTTCCCAGGAGACGCGTGTGGGGCTCTGTCCCGGCTCCGAGGCCCGGCTTCCCCGAGAGGTTTGGTCACACCAGGTCCCCGTTATCCCCCAGCCCCTGAGCTCTGGAAGGGCGTCTTGCTCTGTGCACGGGTGCCCGTCCTGCAGCGGAGAGCCTGTCACACAGCCAGTGCTCAATAAATATTTAATGAGTTGGTGAGGTCCGTTTTCATCCCTTCCATGGCGCGCACAAGACTGCTGAGGCACAGAGGGGTTTAGCACCTTGCCCTGGTCACACAGCCAGGCTCCAGGGCAGCTCTGAAGCAGAAGCCTCCTTGGGTATGGCTGGATTGGAGTTTGGATTGGGGCCGGGGACCAGGCTGGAGTTTCCTGGAGGAGAGAGACAGGCTGGTGAGAGGCGGTGGGGGCTCCCTGAGGTCTCTGCAGCTGACCACTAATCCTGTCCCCGTTTCTGTTGTTTGTTTGAGATGGCATCTCACTATGTAGCCTAGGCGGGCCTCGAGGTGATCCTCCTGCCTCAGCCTCCAGAGTGCTGGGATTACAGGCGTGTACCACCACGCCCAGCCTCCTGCCCCATTTCACAGATGGAAAGAGTGACTCTCGAAGGACAGAGCTCACTGGCGAGCCTTAGAGGACCCTCAGAACCTCCCAGAGCTCCAGGAAGCCCTCCCACTGCCCACCCTCTCCCACCCACACCCCAGGGTCCGGGCACATCCCAGAGCGAGACAGGAGGGCCCTGTGAGTGCCAGGAGGCCTGAGCTCTCAGGGCCTTGCCACTTACCGTGCATAAGCCCCTCAGAGTCTCCGGGCCTCAGTTTCCCCATCTGGACGACCAGGGGCGGAGCCTTCGGCCTCCCCTGCCCCAGAGCCTGAGGCCGGGGCTGCAGGAGCTGAGGGCTGAGAACACAGACTCCTGGGGCCATAAGGCAAGGCGCAGCCTGGTCCAGCATTAGTGCTGCATGATGGTGCTCAGTCCCTTCACTCCCTGAGCCTCCACTTCAAGGTCTGTAGAGAGAGAATAATAGCATTTTGAAGATTAAATGCGCTAATGCGGGGCATCCTCAGAGCAGCGTGGGGCACACAGCTCCACCACCAAACGGGGCTGCGCGGTCACAGCATTTGTTAGGGGACGCTGCCCTCTGTTGGCCGCCGGCAGGAACAGCAGGCGAGTTGCCCCGGCGCAGTGGGCACTGGAGCTCCTGGCGAGCACCTATTGTCCGGATGGGGAGACTGAGGCCAGGCACCGCTCATTCGGTGTGCGCCTCGACCCACTGGCAGAGGCGCCGGGCGTAGCAGGCCGGGCTGACGGTGGAGAAGGTCCGACCCGGGTAACGCAGCGTCTTCCATAAATGCTCCAGCCGCTTGCGAAGCCCGTAGACGGTGGCAAGGTCCACGAGGCCCAGGAAGTAGCGGTGCTCGGGCCCGTCCAGGACGTGCAGCGCGTTGGGGCCATCGGGCAGCAGCCGCCGGTTCTGGGAGCCCGCCTCTTCTGGGATCTGCGCCCCGTGCACAGACCTGGGTGGGGGCCACAGTAGGGTGAGTCCACCGCCTGCTCCAGGGAGCTCCAGGTGTTCCCACCCCTGCCCAGGGGACCCGGGAGGCAAAGGAAACAGTGGCCAATGTCTAGAGCTGCGCTGCCCCTGACAAGCACCGGCTGCGGGAAAATAGGAGCGCCAGATGGGAAAATACACACTGACTTTCAAAAACACTGTGAAGGAAAGAACGCTGACGAGCTCATCACTTCTCATGAAATTCTGCTTCAGTGACATGAGCAGGTTTTGAATGTGTTGAGTAACTTATTAAAATTAATTTCATCTCTTTTTTAATCTTAGTTTTTATTTCTTGTTTTTGGAGAGGGTCTTGCTGTGTAGCTCAAGCTGACCTCACTTTGCCATCCTCCTGCCTCAGCCTCCAGAGTATGCCTCAGCCTCCAGAGTACAGAGTATTGAGCTTAAGTACACGTGTGCACACCAGTGTACTTGGCTCTGTTTTACTTTTAAAATGAGGCTACTAGATAGGCAAAGAGGCTGAGGCAGGAGGGTCACTGGGAGTTCAAGCCCAGCCTGCATGACATAGGAAGACCCTGTCTCAAAAGGAAACAAACCATAAAATAAAACAGAGCCAAGCCCAAGGTCTTGGTGAGGCTCATGATCAGCAGGCAAAGAGTGAGTTACTCTACAAAGTAAGGACAGGACGGTGGCACCAGCGGTGATGACCTCCAGGTCTTGGGGATGAGAACAGAACTTAGATACCTTCTGTGGCAGAATTTAGATACCCAGATCTTTCCCTTGCTCTTGAACCTGTGGGCTCTGCACCACTGCTGCAAAATGGGCAGACTCTTCCATGCAGCAGTGAAGCCCTCGTCCAGCTGGACCCCGGCAGCTGTGTGCCCAGCTGTGGGCCGCCTGTGCCCTGTGCCTCTCGCCGCCAGCTTTTCCAGCCCTCTACCCTGCGCAGACACGCGTGCACACACGCGTGCACACACACACACACCGCACGCACACACACGCATGCACACACACGTGCACACACGCACGCCATGCTTTGTGGCCTTTGTACACTGCTGCCCCTCACTGTCCCGCTGTCCCACAGCGGCTCTTACCGAGACCCAGGGAAGGGGCTCACCTGGCCACGAGGAAGATGACGCTGCCACTCTGGCCCCGCTCGTCGTCATGGAGACGCTGGAAGGCCATGAGGAGGCTGTAGTCCAGCACTCGCAGCTCCTGGAGGAAGGTGGTGTCCAGTTCCATCTGACGCAGGAGCCAGCTCCGCTGCGGCCCTGCCGAGCACCAGCGGCGCGCCTGAGCCTCATCCCGGGCCAGCCACGGTCCCCGCGTGTGCCCGCCTCGGGAGGGCGGGTGTCACCACTGCCCCAGTGCGCAAGGAAGGAAGCTATAAACTATACTTTGTCTTGTTCTCCTAGCCTTCAAGTCTTGGAGCCGGGATTTGAACCCTGCCTTACCCAACCGCAGTCTAAGGTTGGTGGTTTTTGTTTCTGAGATAGGGTCTCTCTGTGTAGTTCAGACCGGCCTCAAACTCATGGCCATCCTCCTGCCTCGGCCTCCCAAGTACTGGGATTACAGGCGTGCGCCACCACACCCAGCCTTGTTTCTTTTTTGAGCCAGGGTCTCACTGTGTATTCCAGGCTGGCCCTGAACTCACTACATAGCCCAGGCTGGCCTTGAACTCTCAACGATCCTTCTGCTTTGGCCTCCCAAGTGCTGGGATTACATGCACAAGCCGCCACAATCTAGGTTCTTAAGGACTCAGGCACACAGCCATGCAGGGACCGCGTTGCAACTTCAACCTGAATGGAGGAAGGCTGTGACCACGGCCATGGCTCACCCAGGTTCATGGTCTTGCCCTGAAAATTGAGGTCCTTCAGCACCAGGACAAGGGGGCTGCCCTCGGGGGCCGGCTCCACCCAGCGGCTCACCTCGCAGCCCTTGATGTCGTACCTGGGGGTGAGGGGGACAGGTTCAGCTTTACACAGACGAGGCACACAGGGACTCTCAGGAGGCAATACTCAGAGACAAGAGTCCCGCTGGGTGACTGTTCCCGGGTGCACCCAACTCACTAAACACAGCCTGGGGAAACCGCAGCACAACCCGTGTCTTCCAGTGTCCCCCCCGCTAGAGATGAGACGGAGGCTCAGACAGTCCCCGGACTCACCGGGCACGCACGCACAGAACAGAGGGCCACGCCCAGGCCTTCGGAAGCCCAGCCACCCGGCCCTCAGAGCTGCCTGTGTCTGCGGTCTTCCTCATTGCCGAGGGTGTGGCAATGAGGGATGGGATGGGGGGCGCTGGTGGCCATGAGGGGACTCACCCTGGGGAGCCTGCTGGCCTGGGGCTGCGCGCAGTCATAGAGGCCAGGGTTTTTGTTTTGTTTGTTTGTTTGTTTGGGGTTTTTGTTTTTGGTTGTTTCGATTGATTTTGCACTACTGGGGATTGAACCCAGGACTTTTGTACCGAGCTACATCCCCAACCTTTTTCTTTTCTTTTTTTGGACAGGGTCTCGCTAAATTACTAAATTTCCCGGGCTGGGCTTGAACTTTCCATCCTCCTGTCTCAGCCTCCCAGAGCGCTGGGATCCCAGGCGTGCGCCGCCGCGCCCGGCTGAGGGGCTGAGTTTGCATCGCTGCTCCACACTGGCTGCGTGGCTCGGTCCTGCCCGGCCCTCAGCTGCGCAGTGAGGATGACAGCCCAGGAGTAACCGAGACCAGGGGCACGCTGAGCGCTCCGAGGCGGGAGTGGGCATCACCGCCTTCCGCCCGCCGGGTCCGGGCCACGTCCCTTGCCCTGTCCAGGCTCGGTGCGCATCCGCCTAGTGAGCGTCGGCGGGGTCGCCCGTGCCTGCTCCTGGCCCACTCACCTCTCGGAGATGCGGCCGGCGGGGTAGAAGACGCTCTGCATGATGATGAAGTACTTCTGGGGACGAGAGGGGCGAGTGTGGGGAGCCGGGGTCTCACCCTCCAGCCACGGGCTCCGCCCAGCCGCCTCGCCCCGGCCTCACCCACCTTCTTCCCCTGGGCCACCCGCAGACTGTGCACTCCTGGGAGGGGAGAGGGCGCCAGGTGAGAGTTCCAAGCCCCACGAGCCGGGTCCAAGGGGCCCAGAGCCCAGCTCCAGGCCACGCCTCCTGAGCCGCCCCTCTTTCCGCGGGGGCCGGTGTCCCCGCCCCCAGGAACGTCCAATCCCGAGCCTGCCCTCTCGGCCCCGCCCCCAGGGCCCCGCCCCCAGCCCGCGTACCCAGCAACCGCGCCAGCAGCGAGTGCGGGTGCCGCTGCAGGTGCTGCACGTAGCGGGGCAGGTGGGCGAGCAGCACCTGCACCTCCCGGCGCCGCTGGGTCTTGAGAAAGAAGCGCTGGTCGTGGCTGCGGGGTGGCGGGAAGAGTTCACTGTCCAGGCCCGGCTGTGGCGTTTCCCTCTGGGCCCTCCGCCCCTGGCCTGGGCACCAAAATCTCTCTCTGTCCCAGCTCGCGGCAGCGACACGCTCCCGCCACTCCCACCCGCCGTCTCTCCGGGCCCCGACCATGGTCTCCCCACGGGGATCTCCCTTTGCCCAGAGCCCCATCCCTGCAGCAAGCTCACGACAGGAAGAAGCTGGCCTTGCTCTTGGAGGTGCTGAGGAACTGCAGGTAGGGGCCCCCGGGGCCCAGCGCAGCCTGATAGTCCTCCTCCGCCACGCCCAGGGAGCGACGCAGCCGGGCAAAGGCCGGGCCGGCCAGGGTGCCCAGCTCAAAGCCCTGTGGAGGAGAAAGAGCTGCCCCAAGTGTCCGTGTGGGTCCAGGGGATAGCTGGCCCTGGTGCAGGACAGTCAGGATGACCACGGCCTTCCTGCAAGGGCCTGGGGACAAGCCATAACCCACACTGCACTGGTGGGAAAGTGAGGACAAGAAATAGCAAAGACGGGGCTGGGGACTTAGCTCAGCGGCACAGCACCTGCCTGGCAAGCGCGAGGTCGTGAGTTCGAATCCCGGTACCAGAACCGCCCCCCCAAAAAACAGAAATAGCAAAGACTGCTGCAGCCCCCCACCCCACCCCCGGCCAAGAGTCGTGGACCTCCTACCTCATGAACCTGGGTCAGGACCTCAGAAAAATCTTCCTGAGTGGGCAGCCCCTGCAGGGATGGGTGAGGGTCTCAGGCAAAATGAAGACTCCCCACTACCCGCCCCAGGGGCCCACACTTGGCCTTAACCCGTCCCCAGCTTGCTCCCTTCCGCACTCAGGGTGCTGTGGTGTCCCTGGGTTGGGCAGATGCACTGCTGATGCCGCCCAGGGGTGGAGGGAGGAGGATGGTGACATGACGCGGGCTCACAGCTGGGTCGGCAGCACCAGGCTCTGAACTCAAGCCTGGCACATGCCCTCGGTCACATGTCGGCCAACGGAAGCCAGTTCTGTCCCAGCACAAGGAGATGGCCCTGAAGCTGGGAGATGGAGCCTGGGAGCAGCAGGCCAGAAAAGGCTTCTTGGGGGAGGTGAGCTCTGAGCTGAAATCTGAGGGCTAGTAGACAGGAGGTGCAGGGTGCTTAGGACAAGAGAAATAGCACTGGTGGCTGGTGATCAGCCAGAGAGGGGCCGGGGTGTGTGGAGCCCTAAGGGAGGGTGGGAGGGGCTGGACAGTGGCCCTTGCTGCCCGCAGGATCTCGAAGCCATGCTGGGCACTGGGGAGCTAAGAGGTTTTCAGCAGGTGACGAGGTCAGGCTGTGGTTTAGAGGGCTTCCCCAGGACCCTCCACTTTCCTTGGACCTCCAGGTCCCTGTGCCGGGATGTGGCCTGTGGGCTGTAGTCTGACTGCACACACATGCACACACACTAACGACACACATGCTCACTGGGGCCCGCCCAGCTGCTGAGCTTGCAGTCGGGTGACCCTTTCTGCTGAACCAGCGTGGCCCCAGCCCAGGCTCTAGGGAGGATGGGCAGGGCAGGCAGGTGGGGGTGGGGTCCGTTTTCAACCACACATCCTGGCAGGGCTGGGAGGAGCGCAGAAACCAAGGGCTGTTGTTCCCTCCACCCATTTTACAGATGGGGGCACTGAGTCAGAGGAACCCCTAGAGTCACACAGCAACCACACTGAGGGTTTCTCATGCTCCCAACTCCCTAAGCTTTCCAACTTCAGAATATCCCAGCTTCCTTGCACCAAGCCCCTGCCTTCCTCCTTTTGGAGCCCTCTCTGATCCCCAACACAGCAGCACGAGCAAGGCCTGTCACCAGCCTGGGCATTGGGGGGTGGGCACACAGGGCAGCAGGGCCATTCACCGTGGGTGGGTGGTCTATGGAGGCCTGGGTGGCAGCCCACAGCCCTGCCTGCATCATGCTCGCCAGCCCGTGGAGCTCATGCCTCGGGCCGATCTCAAACAGCCCCAGGCGAGTCTGCTTGTCCCGTAGGCGCCAAAAGAGGCCACGGCGGTGGCTGGAGTTCGAGGTGGCTGCTCTTTGTCCAGCCTCCGGGGAGAGGGCCAGGGCCTGGCAAGAAGGGGCACAGAAAGCAGAGAGAGGCATCTCAGAGCGGAAAGACCCAAATCTCACTTGGACTACTTGTGAGCCTGCCTGTCATCTCTCTGCCTCAGTTTGCTCAGCTGTAAATTAGGGACAACGCTGTTCCCAGCTCTGGCGTTGTGAGGGGCCACACAGACCCGCACACGGCATCGGACGGCATGACGGTCATTACTACTGTCACCAGTGGGCGCGAGATGGGCGTTCTGCAGTCAAAGCTGGCGGAGAGTGACCCTGTCACCGGCTGTGTGACCTTAGGTAAATCGGTGCCTCTTTTCCTCATCTGCAACCAGAACTAAGGTGACTCCTTCAGGGCGGGACTGACCGTGTTACTGCTGAGCGTGAGCTCCTGCCCAGGGAGCTGTGCACAAGAAGCCCCGCTCGCAGGAACCGTGGCTGCCCGCGGTTCATTCAGATCGACTCCACCACCGCTGCTGCTCCCCGCAGGCCCGCGCCGAGGGTCAGCAGCGGCTGAGATCACACAGCTGACCCACTGCTCGTGGGCACCCCCCATGCTGCCTGCGCTGGCTGAGAGCGCCTAACGGCCCTACAAAGGAGGAGCTTTTAATACCACCTCCATTTTCCCGAGGAGGAGCCTGAGGGAGCCCTCCCGGGACCCCAGCCAGAAGGACCCCCTTCAAACCTGCGCCCTCTGTGGGGCGTGTCCTGGTCCTCTTCCAGGGGAGGGCCCCTCCCAGGCTGGGATGGGGGCGTGTCCGTTCGCCCTGGCGGAGGGGAAGGAAGACCCACCAGCCGTTCCCTTTCCTGTTCTTTCTCAGGTCTGTACCTACCTCGCGGGGCCCGGGGCTCGGCGCGGCCATCGCCCCCGCAGCAGCTTCCCGGGCTTTGGCCGAGTCCCCTGTCGCCCCGTTGCAGGAACCAGGCCCCGCCCCTGCCTCGCAATCGACCAATCGTACGGCTCCAGTCACGGCCGCGCCCAATCCAAGCAAGGGGGCGCTGGTGATCGCCTGCGGGTCCCGCCCCCGCGGCTGCAGCATCCCAGAGCCCCGCGGTCCAGGTGGGGCGGGGCCGCCGGGCTTGCGCTCGGGTCCCGGGGCGGGAAGACTCCTCCTTTTCTCCTTGGAGTGCGGGACCCGCCTCTCCGGGGCTGCCTGGGGAGGCGGGTACCCTAAATTCCGGGCCGCCCACCCATTCAGGCATGAAATTCCCGCTGGCTGTCTTTCGGGTAAAGAAACTAAGATCTGGGGAAAGAAGTGGCCACCGCCAGGTCACACAGGAAGTCAGAGCCTCCTTTCATGCAACATGAATACTTGAAACACCCGCTTTGGCGCAGGAGCCAGGCTAGGGCCGGAGATTTGGTGGAGAGCGGGTGGGAGGGACACAGCACAGAGATCTTTTAAAAGCCTAAGTTAGATGATGTCACTGTCATGCTTAAAGCCTCCAGTGGCTTCCCCTGGCAGTGGAACAAAATTCAAATTCCTCGCCGTGGCCCTGCCCACTGCACGCCCCTTACCAACCATCCTCCAGCCCTGCACCCCTACCTCTGCCGGCTTGTGTACCCAGCTACTCCGCCATCCGTAACCTTGGCCTGGAGCCTCTGGCCCTTGCTGTTCCCTCTCTTAAAGTCCTTTCCCCAGATTGCACTTGCCTTGTTTCTCTTGTCACCTGCACACTCTAAGTCCCACACCCCACACTCTTTTTGTTTTGTTTTGTTTTGTTTTGTTTTCAGGTACTGGGAATCGAACTCACGACCTTGCGCTTGCCAGGCAGGCGCTGTGCCGCTGAGCTAAATCCCCAGCCCTCACCCCACACTCTTGAACACATCCCCTTTGTGTTTTTCATTGCCCTTCACAATGTCGGAGACTTTTCTTTGTTTTCCTTTATTTGAGCCTGGGTCTCACTGTGTATTCCAGGCTGGCCTTGAACTCACCATGTACCCCGCGATGGTCTCTAGCTCACTGCGATCCTCCTGTCTCAGCCTTCTGAGTGCCGGGATTGCAGGCGTGTGCCACCACGCTGCATGTCAGAGATTTCTTATTCATTTATTGGTAGATTAATCACCGTCCTAGAATAAGAGTGGCACTACAGTGGGAACCACGTGGGTCTTGGGTCCTAGCTCAGTGCCCAGCACATACAGGTGTTCTATGAGGGAATATTGGGCCAATGCGCGTAGGGGGTTTAAGGAGTCTCAGTGAGGCCCAGGAAGTGAAAGCCCAGTGTGGCTGAAGTGACTAGAAGTGACACCCCTCACTGAGTGTGCAGGGCCTTGCAGGCCACAGTGGGGGGAAGGGGTATGCAGCTCTTCATCCCTGTCACCAAATACCTGAGAGAAACGACTTAAAGGAGGAAGGGCTTATTTGGGCTCCTGGCTTTGCAGGGTTCAGTCTGTGTTCACCTGGTTCTGTTGCTTATAGGTCTGCAGGAATGCCATGGGGGGACAGTGTGGCAGAAGAAAGCTGTCACCTCACCCAGGAAACAGTACAGGGGAAGGTCCAGAGAGAGAGAGAGAGAGAGAGAGAGAGAGAGAGAGAGAGAAAGGGGCTGTACTCCCTTTAAAGGCACAGTGACCTGCTTTCGCCAATGGGCCACAGCTCCGAACAGCCCCTTCAGCTATGACCCCATCAATGGACCAGCCTACTGATGAAACCACACCCTCCTGACCCAGTCACCTCTCCGGGGTCTACCTGAACACGGCTGCATGGGGATTAAGCATGGATCTTCGAGGGATACTTCATACTGAAGCCGCAGCAGGGATACCCAGAGCAGTGCTACAAAGCCAGGGTATAGGAGGGTGCTCAGATGTTTCTGATGGCCCCTGTTGCAGGCGGGAGGGCCTGACTGGCTGGGAAGGTACTGCAAGGAACCCTTTTCCAGCTCAGGAGAGGCCAGTGCCTTTGCCTCAGAGAGGCAGCGGGACAGGGAGAATTCACAGTACTTGTGCTTGTGTGGATGTGGACTGAAGATGCTGGGGACATTGGGCATGAAGGCAGGTGGACTTGGGGCAGCCTGGGGAACCGACTGAGGACGGGATGAATCTGAGGCCTCACTATCACAATCAGCACGCAGCTGGGGCCTGTGCAGTGCACTGGGGCTGGGAGGAGACAGCTGGCTACACACGAGCCTGGGAAAGGATGAGGTCATGCAGAGAGGACAGGGAAAGAAGGCCTGAGGCCCAGTCCTGTCCTGAGAGCCCAGCATCTCACAGCAGAAGAGGGGTGCAAGTGACAGAGACATCAAGCAGGACAATGGCCATCAAGACACCAAGAGTACCTGAGGGTGGAATCCGGGGGTGTCACAGGCCCGACGGGGTGGAGAGTCAGGGAAATGCCCCTTGTGGTGGCCTCCGTGGGCACAGCCTTCCTGGAGCGATGGTCTGGAGGCTGAGTCCAGGGCCAGGTGAGAGGGGCCCGGGAGATGACTGAGGTCCTCAGTGGGAGCCTGGTGCCTCAGCCTGCCAGAGGACAGACTTGATTTCCAGGAGAGGAAACCACTGTTGACCAGAGACCCCCACTACAGCCAGGAGGTAGGACCTAGAGCCCAGCAGGCAACCCAGGCGGCCAGGGTAGGAGCTGGAGGATGAGGAAGCGTGTGAGGCTCAAGGGCCAGGGCTTTCCCTAGGCACGGGTGCCGGAAGAGCTGCTGCCAGGGGGTACGGTAGGCGCCGAGGGACTGCTGGCCAGGCTGGAGCCTGGTGGAAGTGCAAGCCACCCTGCCGTGGCTCAGTGGTAGCCCTTACTGATTGCATCCACGCTAAACTGGGCTGCTGGGTGTAAGAGATGGATGACATGGCGTGGTGGTGCACGCCTGTAACCCCAGCCGTCGGGAGGCCGAGGCAGGAGGATGGTTGAGTTTGAGGCCAGCCTGGGCTACACAGTGAGCTCAAGGCCAGCCAGAACTGCATAGTGAGACCCTACCTCAAGAAAAAAAAAAAAGATGGCTGACAGGCCATGGCTGCGACCCCTGCAGCCCCCACCCCACAAGGACAACAAGAATACAAACACTCAGTCAACATTTATTGTCAATGTCTCCCAAACAGGTGAGCCCTGGGCCTGAGAGCTGGGCCTCCAAGAAGAGTGTCCGAAAGGGCACCCAATGTGGGTACACGACCGCACCCTGGTGGAGCTGGGGTCTGTCAGTCCTGCCCCGGGCGTTCCAGTCCACAGGTCTGGACTGTATCACACTCAGAAAAGCTGCCACTGTGGAGGCCAAGGTCATACGCCATCAGGGCCAGCTACACCCAACGTCAGCATGGGACAGCAGGAAAACTGAGGCAGGAGGGTGGACCCCAGAGGACAAAGTAGCATGGAGTCCACCAGGTCCTCTCCTTGCTGGCTGGGGGAAGAAGGAGCGCAGGTCCATCAGGTGTGAGTCCCAAGCAGTTCCATCTCCTGAGGGCTGCAGGGGCCACTGTGCCTGGACTGTCCTCAGGCTCTGACCTTCGGTCCCTGGCAGGGATGGTGACAGGCAGAAGCCTCACCCCTGCCGGGCCTTCACTGGGCCTTCTTGGTCACCCTCCGGTTCTTCAGCATCACGTAGGTGATGAACAATCCTGCAATACACAGAGCAGAGCAGCCAAGGAGAATCTGTGCTCAGGCCTGCCGGGAGGCCAAAGCAGGGCAAAATAACCCACAGGCAGGGCCATGCACCTACCCAGAAGCCTCCAGGGCAGCCGCTCATCTCCCCCATTCATCAAGCAGATACCCACTCACATTCATTCAATAATCCCCAAGTGAGAACCTACCATAGGCAATGTGCTGCACTTAGGTGTTTCAGATTCCATGGGGAACAAGAGCCACCTGTCCGTCCCTCGACTCAAGACACCTGTCCCCCTACCTAACCTGCCCACCACCCATCATCATCCGGTCATCTGATTGTCGATTCCCCAAGCACCAACTCAAGTGTTGCAGCCTGGGCTGGTGCTGAGGACGTAGTCACGATGAAGACACAGCTCCCATCCCTGGGAACCCACAAGACATGAAGAGGCGCAGGAGCTAAGTAGGGGTGATGAGAGGGTGTGAGGCGACAGAGGTGTGAGTAGTGATGATGGGCTGGGGGGCAGGAAGAGCGGGCACTTGCCGTTAGAGTCCCGGAGCCTGGGGCATTAGAGACCAGAGGCTGCAGACCTGCAGCACTGCATGAACAGGGAAACCCCAGGGACAGCTGGAGGCAAGGGGTCTCAAGCAGATGCCCAGCAACTGGCATCCTGGTGTGGAACCACGCTGAGGCAGCCTGGGGGACCATGGTGACCTACCCACAAACAGAAGCAGCAGCAGGCCCACAGCTAGGGGGATGGCGACGGCGTAGGCTCGGGGCAGGAAGTACTTGTGGATGATATGCTCGCTGTCGATGAACGGCTGACAGGGAGGGCAGAGCTCTGGTAAGCACTGTCCACTCTGCCCAGCTCCCAAGCCCAAATATCACACCCCTTCCGTCGAAGGCACAGACACCACCAGAACACTGGGAAAATGTCTCCTTTTCGTTTCTTTTCTTTCTTTGAGACAAGGTCTCGCTATGTAGTTCAAGGTGGCCTTGAGCTCACTTGGTAGCCCAGGCTGGCCTCGAACTTGCGGTGATCCTCCTGCCTCAGCCTGCCGAGTGCTGGGTTCACAGGTGTGCGCCACCACCCAGTAACTGCATGGTGCAGGGGGTCAACTTCAAGATCCAGAGCTGGGGGGAAGGGGAGGCTTGGGAGGGGAGACACATACCAAGAGAATCACCCAGACGGTGTAGTAGGTGAAGATGATCAGGCTAACGGCCAGGAGGCCGAGTCCCACCACCTGGTCTGTCCCTGTGGCCTAGAGAAAAGGGAGGCCTCGGCTGACGAAGTGACCACATTTCGTGCACCGAACGAAGGGGTGACGCAGGCAGTTTACGCCCTAAATTTCCCATTCATTCAACAGCTACGCAGTGGGCAGACTCAGCACCAATCCGCAGGCTGAGAAAGAGCGGGCTTCGGTGTTTTCACCCGTCTATGGGCCGGCAGGAGAGCAGCCCCATTTGAGAGCGCCCAAGCCCGGGCTCCTGAGCAGATCCCCCCGCCCCCGCCCCGGGAAATCCCTAACTCGGCGGCACTCCGCGCCAGCCTCACCATTTCCCCACTCAGCCACCCGAGCAGTAAGCCACATCCGGTTCCGGATCCGGGCTTCTGCGACTCCAGGCCGCAAGGCACGCAGGGAGTCGTAGTGCGCAGGCAGGCCATGGTCTACGTCATCCGAGACCCGCAGGCACCGCCTCCCTTTGTATGCCGGGAAATGTAGTTTCTCAAGGGCACCGTGAGGTCGTTTCCAGAAATCTCCCAAGGGAATGGGACTCAGCTGGAACCCAGACTTGCCTGGCCTTCTCGGCCATAGTCCTGTCCTCCCCTCTCTCCCAAACGTGCCTTGTTAAATATCTCATAGTGGGGCTGGGGATATAGCTCCGTGGCATTAGCACCTGCCTGGCAAACGCAACGTCGTGAGTTCGATCCCCGGTACCGCAAAAATAAATAAATAAATAAAAAAGAATAAATAAATAAATAAATATCTCATAGTTCCAAAGCGAGAGCAAGGTTTGGGGTCAGAAGTCCCACTTTTCAAACGGGACAAGTGAGGCACAGAGATCACAGAGTCTGGAACCTGGGAGTCTTATGTTCTGGTCCCGAGGCCCCAGTTTATCCGTTGTGGGAAACCTTACACAAACTGTTCACTGCCGCCTGGCTTGATGTGGGAGAAGAGGCTGGCCCAAGTCCGTAGGGATGGATTTCGATCGTCAGCGAGGGGGGACCTTTTTATCATTACCTGGCCTTCCCGGAGACGCTTGTGGGTGTCCCCTCCCTCCCTTCATCGCCTGCCTCCTGGGTGTCACAAGTTTCCTGCTGGCCCCATGGGCAGGTCCCTCCCCAGTCCTCAAGGCCCTTTCCCCTGAGAAAAGGGAAGGTTGGGCAGGGTAGTCCTTGATGCCTGGTACAGACTCCCACGCCAGCGGGGCTGGCTGCCTCCCACCTTTGAGCTCTCACAGATGTGAGACTCTTCTCCCTCGGACCTGCTTTCCAGCAGGGGCTCCCAGGCCTGTGCCCCACTATCCCAAGTGTCTCCATTTAGTGACCAATTGCAGTCATGGGGGTTGAACAGGGCCTTTAGATTGAATTACAACCGCAGCCTTTTAAAATTTTGAGACGGTCTTACTAAGCTCCCCAGGCTGGGCTGGAATCTGTGTTCCTTTCGTCTCAACCTCCCAGAGCACTAGGATCAAGGTGTCCACTACCATGAACTTTAATTAGTTGACTTTGGTGACCGAGGCCGCCTGACTGAGCTCGCTGGGAGCAGGACCTGTGATCTGCTGTAACCTGAGCAACCAGAGTGGGGCTTACACAGGAGTTTTGGATCAATCAGCTCTAAGATCTGCAGACTGTTTTTTTACATCCTGCAGTGCTAGAATCCAGGATTTTGGGGGCTCCAGCTTCTGTGAGGGTTATGTCGACGCCCTGGGCCTGGACTCTGCTTGGGCGTTAGGGAGAGACGAGGTCTGAGTGCGGCAGCATTCATCTTCTCGGGTCTTCCAAGCCTCTTGGTGACTATGGGGGCTCCCCTCCCAAAGCTGGACCAACCCTTATGGCCTACAGCTCAGTTCTCCCTCCAAACCCCAGCCTACTCTCCTTCCCCAGGGTGGTACAGAAGACACTGGTGATCAGCTCCTGTGATGAAAGGGGCTGTGGTGGGGGTTCAGCCCTGGAAGAAGTGGGGATGCTGCTTTGGGGGGGACCCTGTGACCTGATTCATTCCGATCTGGCCCTAGCCACTAAGTCTCCTGCCACCCACCTCCAAGCTCACTAAAGGCCCGGGAGAACTACCTGCAGGCTTGGACCTACGCTCCTGTGACTTGGGACAGGCAGAACACGGACGAAGGGACCATGCTGAGCCTCGAGGTATGACCTGCCAGGGGTGTTAGGAAGCCTGGGGACCAGCTGGGCGCGCTGCAGGTCAGGCTGTACACCCCGTTCTCGAGTGAATGCAGGCTCACTTGCGGCTGAGGCCACCTGCAGTTATTTATCCTCTGGGGTTAGAGCTGCCACTTAAGTGTGTAACTGTCAAAGAACTGCCCTTCTGGGCCTCAGGAATCTGGAGTGATGAAGGTGGTGTTTGTGACCATAGCTGGGGCTTGGAGATGCCGGGCTACCTACACCATCCCCATCCTGGAATGGTACCTTGCACATCCTGCTTCCTGGTAATAGCGTTGACCCCAAAGTCAATGTGGTAAAGCGACGTCATAAAAAAAAAAAAAGCAAAATAAACAAAAATCGCAACATTTAATTTCTCCCCAAACCAAGATGCTGACACAAGGCTGATTTCCCCTTACAATGTTATTTCTAGGAGGAAAGCTGGGACAGATACAAATACAGCCCATGGGATGGGGTGTGGTGGCAATAGTTAGAAAGGGGGGGTGATTAAAAAGAAAAAGTGACCCTCCCCATCACCTCCCTATGGACAGAAAACGGGGATATTTGCCATCCTGGCAGATTACGCCACGTGATCAGTTACGGGGTGACCAGGAGAAACAAATCTAAAAATATTGTATACCTTTATTTTAAATCTAGTAAAAATGTTAAAACTGTCTTTCAAGAAGATTCCAAACTGGCATTGCATAGACCAATTCCTTTCCAAAAATATCTCTAATATATCCTCTTTCTCTACATAGAATTTGAAGTCCAGGTGTGGGGGCACCTGGTAGAAATTCACTGAGCTCAAAGGAATCCTCAGGCTGAAAACAGGGCTCCCACGCAGGAACAAGGCCACTGCTCCGGGCCCTGGTTCCAGCCAGTGTTCATTTGGTTATGGCCGGATTCTCAGCCTGGTTCCCCCGGCCCTGGGCCTGGTGAGGGAGGACATGGCAGGCTGCTGCCTTCTGGATGACTGTCAAGTTCAGACTTCCATGGGTGAGCTAGCGTTCCTGGTTTGGGCATTTCCTTAGAATGCCAAAGTCAAATGCTTTGTGCCTAAAGCCCCGGAACTTGAATTTAGGCCCTTTACACTCTAACCACACCTCCCTCTGGGTAGGGTGAGGTCACAGCCCCAGAAGGCAAGTCAGTGCCGCCATCTTCTAGAGGTCACATCTGGAGAGAACGGCCAGCTTCCTTCAAAGTGCCAGGATTCTGCTGGGCGGGAGGGGACACTCGAGCTGACCAGAGCCAACCCAGCCAGAGCCCACACTCTGCCCTGCCTTGCAGGCACTTCCCAGCATTCACTTTCTAAAGGTTATTAGGTAATTAAAATGACGACAACAGAAGACCTACAAATGCTCTGGTCCCAACACCAGGGAGTTCCGACACCCGGCGCCCGCTCTTGCCAGCCGGGGCAGGGCAGCAGCGGGGAGGAACCCTCCCGACTTGGGGATGGCACCCGCACCGGCGTCCCGGCCCACCCGGGTCCCCAGCACAGCTGGGAGCAGCGGCAGACAACAGAGGCGCCTCCCCCTCAGCCAGGAGGAGGAAATATTGAACTGTGAACTCAAAAAAAAAAAAAAAAAGGCAAAAAGAAAAAACCTATAAAGCTAGGTAAACACCAGCCTGCTGGGTTTATACAAAATGAGGGCAACTTAAGGGGGTCGGGGGGTTTGTCTGGGCCTGGCTGCAGCCAGACCCTCCTTCAAGCAAGTTCCGAGGACCGGAGCCAAAGTGCTGAGAGCGGATGCTTTGGGGGAGCAGGGCAAACTGCTCCCGGCTGGGAAAGCGTGCCCTTGGGGACGCCCCCTGCCCAGCAGTGGGGGTGCTTCCAGAGGAGGGCTGAGGCTTGTCCGGCAGGAAGCCAGCTTCAGGCCAGTCCAGCCACAGCCTGCCAGCCTCACCAGCCTTGGCCCCAGCAGGGCTGCAGACCTGAGGGCACAGAGGGCTTTGCGCGCCTTCTTCCTGTGGAGAGCCAGCTGCTCAGGAGCCAGCCCCAGCAGGGGGCGCTGCGATGCTAGGGGCTCTCCCATCAGGCTAGGCCAGAGCCAGACAAGGCGGGGGTAGAGGCTGCTGGGTTCCAGGTTCTGAGGGCGGCAGACCCTGGGCCTGTGACTGCACAGCAGGCAGCGCCCAAGAGGCTTCAGGAGCGGTGGAGGGGCCAGAGGGTTGTGCTGGGGACATGTGCAAAGTGCAGGCTGCCAGGGTGGCAGGAGGACATTCGTCGGGGAAGCGGGAGGCTCAGTCTGGAGTGAGTTGGGCCTGAAGCCTGGCTCCCAGGAGGAGGCCGCCTGCGGGTCCCCTAGGACACAGGAAGGGACGGCGGACACGCTAAGCAGAGGGTCACAGGTGGCAGAGCTGAGGGCGGTCCAACCCTCCAGGGCCAGGGGAGACGGAGCGAGGCCCTGCTGGTGCCCCGCCGAAGCTAGCGCTCCTGCGGTGCATGGTCACAGGAGGAGCAGCCCCGAAGCCAGAGGCGCCCACACGCTGCGCAGGGGAGGGGTGTCACAGGGCCGCCCCTCCATCTTGCTCTCCGTGTGGGCCTGCCCACCCAGCCCACTAGTGGTTCGGAGCATTCACAGTGGTGCGGGGCCCTGGCGGCCAGAAGGGTTCCAGGAGGATGGGGACTGTGGACGATGCTCTGGGGGCGGGCAGCTAGCGTGCAGGGCGGGCACGGACGAGACGCAGCGCAGACCGGAGGGAGACGGTTCCTTGAAGAAGGGCGCAGGTCTGGCGCCCCCAGAGCAGGCCCCTCTCCAGCTGGACACCGCTCTTCAGTGACTTTCGATCACCACGGGCTCGTAGACCCCGGAGGAGACCCTGCAGAGGGGCGAGATGGCTCACGGTCGCCCTCATTGCTCCAGTTACTTGGCAGAGCCCGGGCCAGGCCCTTACGGGTCCCGCACAGACGGCACCAACAGCCGGTTTTGTGTGGGAGCTGAAACTGAACCTTCAAGATCTTAAGTCACTGCCACAGTGACAGAGATGTTTAGGTGACAGGGTCTGTGGGGTCCACAGAGCCGGCACAGCCAGTCACCAAGCCCTGCAGAGGACATCAGCTGCCTGCACAGCTGGGTAAGCCACTGACACTTCGTGATAACCCTGGCAGGGAAGGACTGTGCCCTACCCCCATTTGATAGATGAAGTAACTGAGGCCCAGCGGGACTGTGAGGTTCCCGAGAGGACAGGGGAAAGCCAAAGAGCCCGCTCAGGTCTTCCCCCGCTGAGGCCAGCCCCACCTGTGAGGCTGTGGATAGTGCTGAGTCTGAGCCCTCCTGGGCAGCGGCGGGGAGCCTCAGGGCTCCACATGCCATCCTGCAATGGTCTTGCTGCCCACCAGGCTGGTTTCCCATTCCCCACACCCCAGTTTCCTCGCTTTCAGAGGGGATTAGGGAGGGGTTTTTACAAGCTTCTCAGAGATGGCGGCTGTAGTTTCAAGCCTGGGCCAGTAGAGGTCAGCAGAGCAGCATGGGAGGGCAGGTCCTGGCAGCCCAGTCCCTTCTGCTGGGGGCCCAGGGTCAGGCAGCCCTTTCCCACAGCAGCGACGGAAAAGCTTTCCGCCATCCCACGCAAGTTCCCCTCGCCCACTCGGGGAACCTAAGGTGTGTGAGCCGCGCCTGAGGCGTGTGCTGTGCCCTGAGAAACCTGCAAGGGGACTTCGCAGACTGCGGCCCCTTCTGCTGCCGTTCACGGCCGGGTCCCCAGCACCTGGCTCAGCGTCTGCGGCGCGGCAGGTGCTCAGTAACTACTTCTGTGGTCACAAGGGAGTCACCCCCAGCACAGGTCTAGGAGTCTGCAGACCCGAGAGGGAGAAGGAACGAAGGGCCCCCCACGAACACGCATCAAAGCCCCTGTGCTACGCTGAGCCCCGGGCTGGGCACCTTCCAAGGGGAGCCTGGGAACCCACCCACTGGACAGATGGGACACAGGCTGAGAGACGTGGCCAGCCCAGGGTCACACTGCGGTGACAAGAACTAGCGTCCAAAGCCAGGCAGAGGTCTGAAAGCTCTGCCCCCACCACCCAGCCCTTGGCACTCCAGCCCCTACCTGTTGGCCAGCTGGATGCCACTCAGTGTAGCCGAGCCGTCGCGGCTCACGAACAGCCGGAGGTTGCTGTCTGTGGGGACACGGAGGACGAAGGCTGAGCGGACGCGGAACAGCCCGGAACAGGCGGCATGGCTCCCGCCAGCTCGGGGCGGGGAAGGCTCACCCTCAGTGTTGCTGCCCTCCGTGAAGTCCTGGCTCTGCACGATCTTCTCCACAATGTCGTCTGCATCAATCCGCGTGTCATCCACCCACGTTGGGTGGCTCTCCACAGAGTCCTTCTTCCGCCTGAGTGGGGCAGGGACGGTCACCACGGTCAGGGCAGCAAGACCGTCACAGCCCGGCACTTAGAGTATTCTGTGTGCGTCTACGCTGTACTTCGTGTGCCCCCTCCAGACGCTAAGGTGCAGGTGCTACTTAGCCGACGGGCTGAGGAGGGCACGGGCTCCTGGGAGGTTAGGGAACTGCTCAAGGGCACACGGATCTGAGGCCCACAGACCACGTGTTTACAGAGGCACAAAACTGGAACAATGGGCTTGGGGCTGTGCCCGGTAAGACCGGCATAACCCAAACCTCTAGGGTGGGCACCTACCGTCCCTACGTGACAGGTGGAGGACAGGTTCAGGGACCCACGGGGAGCCAGGGACTCACCGAAAGGAGCGGTCTGACAGGTGCAGGGGCCGGGGGGGTCTCGGTGGCTTCTCGGGGGGCCGGTGCTCACGCTCGCCGCCCTCGGGGCCCTCCACAGCTGGGCCCAGGCCACCGGAGGCGCTGCTGCTGGTGGACGTGTTGCGGCGGTGCGTGAGGTCCGACAGGCTGGAGGAGCACGAGTGCTCCGTGCTGTAGCCTGGGAGTGAGCAGCGCAGGGAGCGTCAGACCTGGGCGTTCCAGGCGGCAGGGGCTGCGGGCGCAGGGCCAGGCCACTTACCAGAGACCTTGGACTGCTGGCTGGCATAGCTGGAGCTGCGCGAGTGGCCGGAGTGTGGCACTTCCTCGGGGCTGGACAGGTTCTGGTCTGGCTCCTCCAGCAGCCCTGGGGAAAGGGGACACAGGTTACCCAGCGGGGTCCACCCTCTCCCCTCACACCCTCTTGCTAGCTTCCTGCAGGGTGCTCCGTTTTACAGACTAGAAAACTGAACAGCGGCCCCCTGTGCCAAGCCACAGATCACCCTCTGAGGCTGGGTCGCTCATCCTGAACACAGGTGGGGACCTCCTCACAGTGCACCTGTCTCAGGTTGGCGAAGAGGAAGAGCGCTCTATGCAACGTGAGCTGCATTCACTCCTAACAGTGAGCGGCGCAGGCAGGGACGGCACACATTGAGGCTGGGCCCATTTACAGGTGAGAAAGGGCTTGTCTTTTACACTAGACCTACTGTGTGGTGCAGCATGCCTGTAATTCCAGCACTTGGGAGGCTGAGGCAGGAAGGAGCACTGTGACTCTGAGGTCAGCTTAGGCTACACACTGAGTTCAAGGCCAGCCTGCACTACACAGCAAGATCCTGCCTCAAAAACAAAACTAAAATTAAAAAATCCCATTAGACCCTCAGAATGTGGGAGGCAGAGGGCGAGCCCCATTTAAGGCAACAGGAACGGGGACTCCCAGATAGAGCTGCACAGGCAAAGGTCCTGAGAATGCAACGAGCCTGGGTTTGCGGAGCTGGAGTAAACAGGGTGAAAGAGAAGGGGAAGGAGGAGGGGAGCAGGCCAGGCACCCCCCCCAGGCTAACAGCTTCCAGGCACATTTTCCGGCACTCTCCGTAGGCACCACCAGGTCCTCTGCAGACGGTGGGGCCAGTGGACACTCAGAGCCCATCCTGCGCGGGAGAGGTGCCCCAGGGGCACCATCTGTGCTGGGATGGCCTCGTCCCCAGAACCCTCTTCCCTGAGCTGGACAGCAGCAGTACTGGGGTGCCCCTGCCTGTAGCCTCCAGGCACAGCGGGCAAAACCCCAGCTTTCTGCTTTGGACCTTGCCTGGCCGGGTATGCAGGAAAGACAGGTGAGGAACAAGCTGGGCCCCGGAAGTCAGAGGTCCTTCACGCTCTCAGCCTTCGGTCCACAACGCCCAGCAAGCATCTGTCGGGCTGCCTTGGGCCTGTGCCCTAATTGCTTATTTTTTCTTTTGCGACAGGGTCTCACTATGTAGTTGAGGCTGGTCTTGAACTCACTATGTAGCCCATGATGGTGCAGGACTCATGGCCACCCCCCCACCCCGCCTCAGGCTCCCAAGCGTGAGGGTTACAAGTATGCACCACAAGGCCCGGCTCCAGTCACTCTCGTGGCACGGATCAGGACGCAGGTGCGCTCTGCTCACTGATCAGCTTGGGGCCTTCTGCCTCTCAGCCGAGCCCACCCTGGGGGTCGGTGGGGCTGAGGCTCACGCCTCTGGAGCCCTGCCACAACCCTGCACAGTGACAGATCCCAACTGAGGGCCAGCAAACACTTGCAGGCAGGCCAGGGCCTCCTCTGTGGGCAGCACCAGCCCTCCGCATGGCCACACTACTGCCTCTGGGGATCTGGGATCCTTCTCGGTGTCCGTAATATTAGCACTAACAAGAATTAAGATCCAGGCCTCGACTGCAATCCCAGCACTCAGGGAGGCTGGGGCAGGAGGATCACTATGGAGTTTGAAGTCAGCCTGGGCTACGTGAGTAGAAGGCCAGCCTGAACTACATAGCAAGACCCTATCTCAAAAAAAAAAAAAAAAGAAAAAAGAAAAGTGATAAGAGACAATGCCAGCTAGCCAGCCAAGTACCTAGTCCCAGGCAGGATGTAAATGTATTTAGTTAGCTCAGCTAGTACCTGAAGGAGACTAGGGTGTAGTTACTATTAGCAATTCCGTTTTCCAGAGGACACTGAGACTACAGAGGTGCAATGGCCAGTCAAGGTCACAGCAATTGGGAGGGCATGGCTCCCAGGTCAGCCCCCAACAGGCACACTCCAGGCTGCAGCTTGCAGCGGCCCTCCCAGCACACACAGATCCTCTCTGGGCCTGTGGTCCTGCTGCCTCATCTGCAGGGGAAACACCTGGGGGTCACCTACAGCTACACGAACACCTGTTTCTCATATCTGGCTAGAGAGCCACAAAGGCAACTGCTGTGACCCTGGGGCAATGGAGGCCTGACCAGAAGCACCTGCTGTCAGCAACCAGCCTCCCCCACAAGCACCCGCCCAGGACACTGCTGCGGTGAGAGTCGGGCCCCTGGCAGGGGAGGCGCAGGCAGGCGGGAGACGGTACCTGAGCCGAGGATGGTGGGCCGGGCCTTGTGGGGCCGGGACCCTGTGAGGGAGTTGGCGCTGCTGCTGCCACCACTGCTGGTCCCACCACCTTTACACGTCAGCTGCAAAGAAGCATCCTGGCCGGGGATGGAGATGGACTTGGCAGTGGACGGTGGCCTGTTGGGGGGGAGGTGTGACTGGGGTGTCCCATCCTCGGATCGATGAGGGCAGGGCGCCCATAGCCCGGAGGCAGGAAGAGTCCCTGTCCCCCCACCACTGTGCCAAGGGCCGAACTCCCAAGCCCCAGGGGGCTGGCTGGCACTCACGTCTTAAAGCAGGGGTCTCCAGAGAGCAGGAACATTCCAATGGTGATCTGGGGAAGAGGGGGGACTCAGCGCAGGCACAGCCGCCTACAGTCTCCCGGCTCCAACCTCAGAGGGGCTGGGACCTCAGGACCCACCCGCCCCTTCCTGGCTAGGGCTGCAGCTGCTGGACTCCTGGAGCCCGACTCCCGTGTGGAAGAGAAAGGAAGCCCCAGGCCTGCCTGGTGGGGGGCTGGTGAGCTTCAGGGAGAGGAGGGTCGGCTGCTGAGTGCGCGCCATCCGTGCCTGCTACCTCACATCACGACCCAGCTCTTCCGCAGCATGGCCCAGCTGGCCGTGGGGCACAGTGCCAAGCCTGGGAGATCACGGAGCCCCATGTGGGGGTGGGAATACACAGTGACATTTGTAGGGAAAGTTTGAGGACTCAAGCAAATCACAGAGCCAATTAGAAATTTGGTAGGGGGGGCTGGGGATTTAGCTCAGCGGCAAAGCACCTGCCTGGCAAGCGCAAGGTCGTGAGTTCGATTCCTGGTACCGGAGAAAAACCAAAAAAAAAAAAAAAAAGAAATTTGGTAGGGCCGGGGATATAGCTCAGTGGCATAAGTGCCTGCCTGGCAAACACAAGGTCCTGAGTTCAATTCCTAGCACGAAAGAAAAAAAAAAATTAAATTTGTCAGTCGGGCATGGTGGCTCATGCCTGTAATCCCAGCACTCGAGAGGCTAAGGCAGGAGGATCCTTGCAAATTTGAGGTCAGCCTGGGCTACAAAGTGAGCTCAGGCCAGCTTGAACTGCATAGCGAGACCCTGTCTCAAAGAGACCAAAAAGAAAAGAAAAGAAATTTGGTATTCACTTGGGCAAAGACCTTGGCAATGGCCCAAACATGGCAAAGTCTGGGTCCCAATATCTGGGAGGTGGAATGACAGTAGGAAAGGGCTGCTCTGATCCCAGCACCCCTGACCTATGTGGGGACCACCAGGCTGAGGGTTTTACGGATGATTTCACTTGGCCATGAGGGCAGCCTACGAAGTACATGACACCAAGATTACAGGTGAGGGAACTGAGACTCCGGAGCGGCGGGCTGTGGGACAGCGGACTGAAGGCAAGGCCACCTGACCCCGAGATGCCTCCATCTGTACTGGCCGAGAGTGTGCAGGGCCCACTAAGGGGAAGACTACCCAGACCCTGGCCCTTTCTGGGTGCCTCTGGAGCCTGAGCCCACCACCTCATGCCCAGCTCCACCCTGAGGCAGCTGGCACCCTGTCGGCGCTTCGAGATGACACTGGGACACAGCCAGGTGGAAGGGTGAAGACGGCCGTGCTGGGAGCACATGCCCAGACATCTCTGCTCCTAAGGGGCCAAAGAGAAGCTGTCCGAGGCCGGAAGCTGCGCCAGCTGGTGAGGGGCAGCCCCTGGGCCCTCGAACCATGGCGAGTGTGAGTCTAGGACATCAGTTCTTCCACCAAGGCCTACCAGGAGCCAGGTGGTACCCAGGCACCCAGAGCAGTGTTTAGGAGCTGGGCTGTGGAACCCAGTGGCAGCAGGGCCAAGTGCCAGCCTGCCCACTCCCGCGGCAAATAATTGCACTTCTTGTTCCCCATCCCATGCAACCTGGGGCACACCGGGGCAGCTATGAGACAGTAGACACGGCACTCAGCACAAGCTGATCTTGCAGAGGGGCTTGCCCAACCCTTACAGACTGCCGCGACCTACCCTCAGAAACGTGTGCAGAAACAGCCCGATCCCAGAGCGCACATCTTCCCCACGCCCCCTGCAGCCTGGCCAGGTGGGAAGCTGTACTTTTAGCAACCCTCTGGGGGATTCTGATAAGGATTCCGAGGTGGAGGTCGTGGTGGAAGAGGCAGCAAGGTGCCCGGTACCTTGAGGATGGAGTTGTCCTGGCGGGTGTTCTTCGTGTCATACCCCTCTAGCAGGCAGCAGCGCACCGTGGAGCCTGAGCCCGCAAACTCGGCCAGGTTCAGGTCGGCGAAGCCCAGCTGTGAGGGAAGAGGCTTGTTGGAGGCTGCGGGAGTGTGGTGCACGGCCGGGAGATGCCACAAGGGTTAACGGGGCTGGGGTGGTGAAGGGAGGGCAGGCCGAGCCCCTGGGCCCGCCCCGTGGCCCCGACTGGTTGTTGCGTAACTGGGTCCCGAGGATAGGACTCTGGGTCGGCAGCACCGATGTGGCAAAGCTAGAGCTCGCGTCCCTGAGGGGCACAAAGCACCCTTTGTGCCACATCCCAGTGTGCACCGGGCCAGTGCTCCCGAGATGAAAGGGCATTGTTGTCTGTGACACAGATGCATTGTTCCCTGGGAAACAAGGCTGTGCTGTGGGGAGCTGCCCGCAGAGCAGGGAGGGGAGGAGGGAAGGCCCGTGGGAACCTGGCAGCAGGGTGGGCTGATGGGACATGGAGTGGGGGGCCGGGAAGGGAGGGGACCCTGCAGAGTGAGCAGGATCCCCAGCAGAGTCCCCTGCTGGGGGCTGGAGAAGCTGGCGGGCAGAGCCCAGGGTCTGTCCAGGGGACTCGGGCTGCTCTTTGGCAGGGAATGGGCTGGAAGGAGGCCACACCTGCCTGAGCGGAGAGGAAACTCAGGGTGAGTGAGGGACAGGCTGGGGGACTTCAGGGACAGCCAAAGCAGGCAAGGACAATCACCGAGCACCAGCCGCACACACGTCTCTACTGTGGATAAGGGGCACAGGCTCCAGGTCCAGGGAGCTGGGCCTGGCTCTCAGCCTGCACTGACCCCCAGGAACCAGATGAGTGCGGGCGGGGGGCAGGGAGAGGCTCGCCGGCACTTCCTCTTCATTGCAGATGAGGAGGCAGAGGTCAGGGAGGGGAAGTGACTCGATCAAGCACACAGAGCCCGACCTGCAAACAGGATGCAAACTAGACCTGATCAGAACCAGGACCTGACACCTCCCTGGGCCTCAGTGTCCTCCCGTGTAACGGGGTGTAAAGCCTATGACAGAGGCGCCACTGCCGAGGGTGGCACGTCCCCTGGCCGCCTGGTCAGCACCCGCCGGAACAGTCCAGGCCGTGTGCTGGTAGTTTCTTCCCCAACTGGGTGGCTGTCCTCAGCCGCATCAGCCGATACAAACTAATACTCCGACAGGCCTCCCTCCCCAGCTAGCTCTGGCCACCCTGCCCCCTGGTTTTGTGTTTTTGGTAGGAGGAGCTGTGGAGCCCAGGGCCTCAGGCGTGCCAGGCAAGCTCTCTCGACCAGCTCCATGCCAGCCCCGCACTCTGCAGGGTTTGCTCTGGCCAGCTGCGAGGCCACAGCACTCTCCTCGGGCCTTCCAGACTGGGGTGCTGCGGGGGAGACCGAGAGCGCCCCAGAGAGAAGGGCCCAGAGAGGGCAGGGCCTCTTGTCCTGCTCTTCCCCACAGTAAAGGCCGCGCTGGTCGGGGCGGACGGAGCCAGGCTGTGGAAACCTGGCAGCAACACAGTGTCCAGTACCGGGACCGGGGAGGTCAGATGTCACTGGCCACGCAGCAGGATGCTGCTGCAATGAGAAAGCACACAGACACCTGTGATGGCACTCGTGACAGACCCGGCAAGCGAAGAGCTCAGCTGCGGGATGTGTGCAGGCGCACGAGCACAGCGCTCCAAGCAGCCTTTTATTTACTGCTGTGCAGAGAGGACTTCTTTTCTTTCTTTCCTTAAAAGGTCTGGGGCTGGGGGTGTGGCTCAGGGGCACAGCGCTTGCCTAGTATGTGAGGGGTTCTAGGTTCGAGCACTAGCACCACCCAAAAGGCCTGGAAAGACCCGAACCGACACGACAGGACAGTCCCGCGAGGGGGAAGGGAGGAGGGGGGTGGTGAGGGCCTTTTCATGAAGAACACCACCCCACTGTACTGCAACGAGGGAACGCTGCTGCCATGTCAAGTGCTGACGACCAGTAAGGATATCCCACGGAATGGGATCTTATGGAGGGCTCGCTGTGTCCCGTTTAGGGGAGAGATGGGCTGGAAGTCCTGTGCTACCCATGCCACCCTGCCCTTCACACAGCCCCTCTTACCTTAGAGTAAGCCTTTCCACCTTTCAGCTCCTGCACAGGGAGGGAAACACAAACAGCACGATCACTAGGGAGCGCCACATTCCTTGCGGGTCTCCCTAGGTCCCCCGAACTCTGAGCACCAGCACGGGGACATGAAAAAGAGCAGAGCAACTCCCCACATTTTCCTCTGGAGGGAACAAGTCGGGGGAGGGTCCCAAAGCCCCCCAGACGCTCAGCCCCACACCCACCCTCAGTCCCCGCTCACAGCACCCCTCGCCCAGGTCGAGCAGCCCGGCCTCACCTTGCGCACAGACACGCGGAAAATGCAGGGGTCCAGCAGGCCAGTGGCCGGGTTGGCACTCATTTTACACACGAAGGTGAACCTCTTCCGCCAGCGCACGCAGTTCTCCTGTACCTCCTCCCTGCAGAAGGCCGGGCAGGTGAGTAGGGAGCGAACAGGCACAGGGTCAGTGACCATGGGGAAGGTAGGCACACGGCCAATCCCTAGCGGCCTTGCTGCTCGTGGGAGGAAAGGCAGCTCTCATTTTTCACTCTGTATCACAAAGTGACCGTCTCTTTACAAGACTGTGCCAGCGTAACTGTTGTAAAAACATAAAAAGCCATGTACTAGGTACTGAAACATCACAAGGCAGGTCCTCAAGCCAGCTCTGCCACATGCCAGAGCCCCTTCGCCGCCCCTGACAGCAGCAACGTCCACAATAAGCCCAACAGCTGATGCTGTATGATGCTTCCCACGTGCCAGGCGGTGTTCAAAGAACTGAAAAGCCAGTGGCCACTGCACCCCACTTAGAGTGCCAGAGATAGGTGATCACACCCGTGCCAAAGCCTTCTAACCACTGTCCAGGCAGCTGGTATCCTCACCCCTCCCCCAGAGACAATGGGAGCTCTGGGGGCTATGTCACCCTCCTGAGGCCAGTCCTGGCAGGGGCAGAACAGGGACTGAACCAGCTCTGGCCCTTGGCCTCCCTGACACTAACGGAGGGCTGGAAGCACAACCACAAACCCAGCACTCCTAACGGGCGACACCTTGTGTCAGGGAGGACTGGGAGCCTCTCCCGGAGGCTGTGAGGCTTGGCAGGATCTGGAGGCAGAGGGGGCACATGGCAAGAGCTCTGCACTCTGGAGCAGTGCCCTGTGCCCCCAGCCCTGGTACAGCCGCTGCTCAGGAAGGGTGGGGTGGTGAGAGACAGTATCTCAGCTCATCTCACCTAACCGGACAGCCAAGTGGACAGCTGAGGAAGCGACCTCTCTACACCCTGGGCTGCCCACAGAACATGGGACAGCTGCCAGACCGGTCTGAGTCAGGCAGCTCCCGAAGGGAGAGCCCCAGAGAGCGTGTCGGGGGAGCCCACAGCGCCCTCCTGCGTGTCCAGGGCCCCCAGCGCAAAGGTTAGACAGTTACCGCACATGACTCAGCTACTCCACCCCCAGGTACACAGCCCACAGAAAGGAAGCCTGTGTCCACACAAAAACTTGCACTCGCACAGCAGCATTAACCACCATAGCCAGAGTGGAACCAAGCTGGACACCGGTGTGCGCCTGTAATCCCAGCACTGAAGGTTGAGGTACGAGGGTCACAAGTTCAAGTTCCACCAGGACAGCACTGTGAGACCCTGTCTCACAATTTAAAAAAATAAAATAAAAAGGGTTGGGGCTGTAGCTTAGTGGTGGAGCTCTTCTGAGTTCAATCCCCAGTACAGATTAAAAAAATAAATGAATAAAAAGAGAGAGAAAGCAACCCAAAAGTCAACTGGAAAATGGACAGTACCATGAGGTCTCTTCATATGATGGAATAAAAAGAAAATGCAGAACATATCCATACTACAATGTGGGTTAACCCTAAAAAGATTAACACTATGGGAAGGGAGGCAGACACAAAGGACAATATGGCATCTGGTTTCATTTACCAGGAAATCCACAGATGCAAAGTGCACTGGTGGTTGCCATGGGAGGGGGACACTGGAGGAAATGGAGTGACGGCCAATGGGTATGAGTTTCTTGGTGGGATGAGGGAAATGCTCTGCAAATGACTCCAGTTATGGCCGCAGGGCCCTGGATAGGCTGGGGTGTAGCTGAGGGGTAGAGCACCTACCAACCTATGTGAGGCCCTGGTTCCATCCCAGCACCACCAAAACAAACGATAAAAAATTAAAAATAATCTCTGTATTTCATATTTTAAACCTGTGAATCATGTGTTCTATGAATTACACCTCAATAAATGTCTCTCCCTAATAATGTCATGGCGGGTCAGATGAACAGAAACGGAGAATGCAGGGCAGTGCAGGTGGGCGCTGAGTAGAGATGGGAAGGCGGAGGCTGCTGGTTAGGATGACGGCCCTTCCGGCAGTGACACCTGCTGAGGCTTGGAGTGAAG